TGGGGCTGGGAGGACTGCCTTCCTTCTCTTGGTGGCCAGGAGGGGGCGCTGCGGCCCGATCTCGCCGGCTTTGGGATCCCGAGGACGGTGGGCGATGGGGAGGCAATGGGAAACCCTGCTGGCCCAGCAGGCTTTTTAAGAACATCATGGATTGAGCGCTTCCTGTGTGCCAGGCCCTGTCCTAGGCACCTTGTATGCACCCCTTCACTACTTTCCCTCAAGCCTGTTTGTCACTAACTTTTCACGTAAAGAGACTGAGGCACTGCGATGTTACCGAAGATTACACAGCAGGTAATTCAGCCCCAGGAAACATTGTTCTCCAACTCACAGCAACCCCACCACACCACTTCTCTTGGGAAGAGATCCTTGTTTTGTTTTGTTCGGTGGTGCAGCTTGAGGGCCTGGGACAATGTCTGGAACACAGTAGGTCCCTGTATATTTGTGGAGTGAATGGAGCCCTAGGCACCACCCGTTCCCTTGAGTTGATTCCACTCATAGCGAGTCCTACAGGATAGACTAGGAATGCCCCACAGGCACATTTCTTTCCTGTGTAAAGATTACTCAGGCTATCTTTACAGGAGCAGACTGCTCCCATGGAGCAGCTGGTGGGTTCAAACCGCTGACCTTTCAGTTAGTAGCCGAGGGCTTTAACCACTATGCCATCAGAGCTCCCTACTGTGCACTAGTTCATGTCCCATTCCATTTAATCCAACCGATCCTTTTATTAAGCTACTGTTGTTATATCCACTTTACAGATATGAAAACCGAGGTTTAGCTTGGCTAAGTTCCTGGGGGCCTCTTCCCTGGCCAGAGCTGGGTGGGCTCTTTGTCTATGGCCCAAAGCCCAGCCCCTCTGTGGTGCTCCCAGCCTCCGCCTGACCCAGACTGCCCAGGAGACAGACCAAATGGGTGCTCTGGCACCAGCATGGCAGAGTTGGGTTGTTGATATTTTTGAAAGCTTATGGGCAGAAACCATGTTGTGAGAATTCCTTACACGTGGTTCAGTATTGCTTTTACTCTGAATCACACCTGGGGGTGGACACGTAACCTCCCAAGGCTAAGCCATCTTTCATAGTTCATCCGGGGCTTGGGCCAGTCTCTTCAGTGTGCCACACGCCATGTGCCAGTCACCCTGCACTCTCACCTTGGTGCCATCTGCCAGGAGCTGTCTTTCCCAGCATTATCTTCCCATCATCCTTCTAGGCCCAGCACCAGCGCCGCCTCCTGAAGCCCTCCCAGATGTCCTGTGGATGCCCCTTGTGTCGGCATCCTCCTACCCTGTAACGTGGTGGTTGGTGGCCGGGACTGTTTGGAGGAAGGCTGGTTTCACGGGACCCACTTTGGAGACCACGTGCATGTGGATAGAGAGGCTACGAGGGCGGCCCATTGGGTCCTCTGCATCAGACACACCCCGGGACTCTTCATGGGGTTGCTGAGTGTGTGTGTGTATGGTTCCAACAGGGGGATTCATCAGCCAGCAGAAACTGACCTGCACCCCTAAGAGCTTGGAGAACATAGTCACCCCCCACACACAACCGCTTTCATACAAGGAAGGAAATCCAGACCAGAGCAGGGATAACCTACCAAAGGACCCCTAACTAGGAAACCACACAGCAGCTCTGGCTCCGAAGCCAGGCCCCCCTGCCAGCATCTTGTCTTGGCCCTTACTGCTGGGTGGGATGGGCCGGGACACCAGCTCCCTTGTGTGCATCTACACGGCGGGCTGTTTAACCTGCCACGTGTGGGCAGACACCCTGTGCATGAGCAAATCACGAGTGTCCGTGAGCTTGGCGAGTTCACCTCCTGCCTCACCGGGAGCTTTCTGGACTGTACCACCCCTCTGCTGGGCAGGGGGGTCTGTAAGCTGACAGAATCGGGGGTCAGACAGTGCCTGGGAGGGGAGGGTGTGAACGGGGCACACAGCCAGCCTTTGGAGTATTTCCCTTTGCCTTTGTGGCCCCCAATCTCAGTGTCCCTGTCCCCACCCCCATCCTCCGGGAGAGCCCACCATTCTAACTATCCACACAGCTGCCCCTCCTGCCACCTGGCAGGTTTGCTGCTCAGTCCTTTCTCCCCAGTCCCCCTAGGATGGGCTTCGAAGCCCCACCTCCTGCAGGTACCCAGGGTAGCAGAAAGGACTCCCTCTAGGGCCTGTGGGGGATTGGAGGTGCTCCCACCCTTGGGTGGGGACTGGAGCCTTGAGCACAGGGATTCTGTGGAAGGTGTGTGCACGCCCCACTTGGTAGCTGTGGTCCTTTTCCACATGTGACTTGTCCCTTGATTCAGGGACGTGTGGCCCTCGCTGGAGGTTCTTCCCAGAGCAGTGCCTCTTCTCGCTGCCTGTGGCCCCCCCACCAGTAGAACGGGCCTTGTGCCTGGGAGCAGGGGGTTCCATCCCCTGGGGTTAGAAGGTGGGGCTGAGGGATCAGATCCCTGCCAGGGAAGGCCCCTGGGGACAGGGGCGACAGCTGTGGTGCAGGGGAGGAACCCGACACCAGGGGTGGGCCCCTAATGCCCTGCAGGGGAAGCAGGGGGAGGTGCGGGCTCAGACCTTCTGGGGTTGACCCCGCCCCCACCAGTCCCTGCTGCATCCTTGCCGTCACAAGGATGTCCATCTTTCCTGGGACAGTGTCAGTACAATCCCACTGGGGGTGACAGTTACAATTCCCTGTGCCTGGAGCTTCCCCCACAGGCCCACCAACCTGGGGCCCAGTCTCTGCCCTTCCCCTTGGGGGCCGTGTTGTAGGTTCCAGCACGTGAGCTGGGAAGGTCCCTCCCTGGCTTTGTAGTCAGGGCCCTGGGTGGAGCTCAGCCACTCGGTGGGTGGCTGTGTGACACTGGGCAGGCTCGTTAACCTCTCTGAGCCTCCATCTCCTCTATGAACCGGGCCTGGCCTGGAGTGAGGGGTGCTACAGGGCTGGCAGTTCTCATCCCAGGGCCCCCGCCTCAGCAGAGGCAGCTCCACCAGTCAGCCCTCCTGGTAGACCAGGCCACCTGGACCCCAGAACAGGCTCTGAGCAATGGCCCCAGCAAAGGCCTTGGAAAAAGCTCCTCAGGTGATCCTCAGGTGCGGCCAGGTGGAGAACGGAGCTGAGGCAACTGCCAGGCAGCGCCGCCCCCCCCCAGGGAAGGGAAGGGAAGGGGGTCCTGTCACCCACCTCCGGGCAGAGCCTCTCTGCGGGGTGGGGGTGGGGCGGATGGCAGTGGCAGGGGCAACGGGGAGGGAGGGAAGGGGGGGAGGGAAGCGGGGCGGCTGAGGCCGAGAGAAGGGGATCACTGTTGCCGAGTCGACCTGCCCCCACAGGGCAGAGTGGAATCGCCCCGCAGGGTTTCCTGGGCCCGACCGCCAGGTCTTCGCTCCCGCGGAACCTCGGGGTGGGCTCGGCCTGCTGAGCTTCCGGGCGGCCCGGTGCGGCCGCAGGGCCCTCGAGAAGGAACGAGAAGGGGGACGGGGAGGGCCGGCAGGAGGTGAGGGCACGAGGGGCCCGAAGGGCCAAGATTCAGAGCAGGCGGGGCGAGGGACAAGGAGCAGGGAGAGGAAAGGAACGCGCAGCCCCCGCGCCCCCTGCTGGCTGCTGAGGACGGAACCACCACGGAGGCCAGTCTTCCCGGAGCTTTGGACTTCTCAGGCCTCAGGGCCCGCAGAGCTGTTCTCTCTAACCCTGTGGGGAAGCCTTGTCAGTCACCCAGACTGTCGGGGGCGACCCGGACCCTGCAGCCCGCTCTCCCGCTGGCTTTATGGGTACGTTTTGTGGTGGAAGGACTTCAGCATTCAGCAAAAAAAGAAAATTTAGTAAAACTAAGACAGTTGAGCCCCAGAGCAGGGCATTCTGGGAAATCTGGGGCCGTGGGGGCAGTGTGGGGGTAGTGGGCATCCGGTGTGTCAACTCCTCAAGTTCACAGCTGGGGGTGACAGAAGCACCTGCCCCTTGTCCCCGGTCTGAGCTAGCAGGTGTTTTTCCAGAGAGGTTTCCATGAACCCCTCCACTCCCACCCAGCCCTTCATGCCAGAGGCAAGCCCGAGCCTAACACAGCGTAGTCCCAGGCTGCTGAGAAGTGAGGTGCAACCTTGAGCCCCTGCAGGGTGGGAGGGGCCTGTCTGCTCAGGAAGGACCTGGAAGAGCCCAGAGAATCAAAACTGGAAAGCCCCAAGTTCCGGCACACAGTGGTGCTGTACTGAGCCTGTCCTGTGGCTGTAAGCTGGAACCCCTGTCCCTTACCACCTGTCCCACCCTCCCAATCATCCACTGTTCACAGAAGTTTGGGAGGTTGGGGGCAGGAGACCAGAGTGGGGTGGCTGATCCAGGGCTCTCGACCCAATAGCCACACAAAGTTCCCCTTTGTGGTGGGCGGGGCTTTCCCTGGGGATCCCCTAAATAGGCTGAAGCAGAAAGGAGGGTGCAGGCACCAGGCTCGGAAAACAGCTTCAGGGACTCAGGGGGCCGGGCCTGGCACTGGGTCCCAGGTAGCATGGGAAGAGCTGCTGCCCAGAAAGAAAGAGATCCCCAGAGCACGAGGCCCTGGCCTCACGGGGACCAGGAGTGGCTGGGCCTGTGAGCCGCCCACAGGAACAGCAGCTGGTGTCCGGGCTGGCAAGGCCCAGAGGTGGGACACCTTGGTGCCCTGGGGCCATGTGGGGACAAGCAGTAACTGTTAAGTCCAAGCCTTGAGAACGCGCTGTGATGTGAACGTATTTTATGTAGCTCCAACTCAGACAACTGCCAAGGTTATCCTATAGAGGTAGCACTCTTGCTGGCCCTTGTAGTAAAGTGCTCTGTGGGGGAGGGGAGAAGGGGTGGCACCCCTGGGAATGTGTCCACGGAGAGGTCCCAGCAGACAAGGTCGCAATGGGGAAGCCAGAGGCCCAGAGAGGGGAAGGGACTTGCCCAGGTGCCAGGTAAGGAGGCTCCTTGGGCCTGGACCACTGGCCCAAGGCTGCCCTCTGGGGGCTTGTGGCCAAGCAGAGAAGGGGCTCTGGGGAAGGTGGGGGGGGGGCCAAGTCAGGCCTCCCCCTCCCCCTCGCCCTCGCCCTCGCCCTCGCCCTCGCCGGCACAGCCCTCGGCCACTGCTCGGCCCTGGGAGGCCCGGCTCTCCAAGTACTCGGCCTTGAACCGCTCCAGCTCCTGCAGCTCAGCCTCCAGCTGCTCCCGGTGGGCTGCCCGCAGCTGCCGCAGTTGCTTCATGGGGAAGGGGTTCATGTCTGCGAAGGCGATGCTTGTCAGCTTCCTGTGGGGAGGGCGGTCAGCTGCGGCAGCATCCCACCCAGCCTGGGTTCCCGCCCCCTTCCCAGACACCCCTGTGGCCGAGGACCCTCAGGGCCCAGAGCCCTGTCTGCAGCCTCAGGAAGCCTGCCTTTCTGGGGTAAAATGAGAAAAGAGCCAGTTTTCCCCCAGGGTGATATGTACTGAGGCAGGAGGAAGGTCAGGGCTGTCCAAGCTCAGAAGGGTACCCAACCCAATAAGGAAGAGTTGGTCAGGGAAGACTTCCTGGAGGAGGTGGCATGTGAGCTAATTTTGAGGAATGGGTAGGGTTTAGGCAATAAGAGAAGATCCTGGTGGTGGTCGGTATGGGGAAGGGGCAGGGCATATTTAGGTAGAAGGTACTGTAAGGGCAGGAACCCCGGGCGAGGACTGTTCTAGAAACTCTGCTGAGCTGCCTGGCAGCATCATGGGGCATTGGTGCCGGGCGAGAAAGGGGACTGCACAGAGGGCAGTGGTCACTGAGGCAGTGGGCTGCCCTAAGGGTTTCTGAGCCATAGCGGAGGGTCCGGACCACTAACAAGCACCCAACTGGCAAAGATCTGTCACCGCTGCTACGTGCTCTGGGGGTGGCAGTGGTGGGTGGAGCCGCGGCGTTTGGGGCTGGGTGGGGTGGTGGTGGGTGGAGCTGCTGCTGTGTGCTCTGGGGGTGGTGTGGGGGGTGTGGTGGAGGGCCGTGGAGTCTGCGTGGGCTCTCACCGGCTGTTGCTAATGGTCTTGGTGAAGAAGCGTAGGTACTGGTAGATGTCCAGGCCGTCCTGCAGTCTCAGGATCTCCTCCTCGTTGTACTTGAAAATGGCCAAGGCGTAACGGAACACCACCTGGGGGCCGACGGGCTCAGTGTGTGTGGCGCCAGGGCAGCCAGTCAGTGGAGGCAGGGGAAGCAGGGACCCAGGCAGCGTGCGGAATTGCTGGGCCGGCTGCAGAGGTGTGTGTGTGGGGAGTTCACGGGGCGATACCCCACAGGGGCAGGTCAGCCCCGAGCCTGGAGTCTGGGGATCTGGGCGTGGGTCCTGGCTCTACCCTCGCTTGTCTGTGACCCTGGGCAAAGTGGTGCCCTGCTGCACCTTTACATGGGACTGACCTGAAAGCGCCCTGTAAACTATATGGTGTATCATTCAGCTACAGTGGGGAAATGGGGTGGGATGCAGAGGTAGGCCTGTCCAGGGTCTGCCAGCAGGTCACGGGTGGAACTAGGCCTAGAACCAGAGCCCTGCCCTCCCAGTCAGGGCTCTAAACGAGGAGGAGGGGTTGCCCGGCGGCTGGAGGGCCCGTGGGTGGGACAGGTGCGTGTTGATCCAGCTCGTGCTGACTTCCCAGGGAAACGCTGACGCCTTGAGGAGGCAACCTCAGAGGAGCGGGCGGCACTTTCCCTCGTGTGTGCAAAGCACGTTACAGCGTGTAAAGCCGTGCTCTCAGCCACAGCCCTGACAGGTCGCAGAATGGAGGCCACCTCCTGGTCCCCTACCTTGGTCCCCTCGTACAGGAAGGCATCCCAGATTCGGAGGAAGATGTCACTGATGAGACTGTCCACAAAGACCACAAGGAACCAGTTGAAGGTGACGAGGGAGAGGTCCACGTGGTGCTGCCCCAGGTGGGCCATCAGCCTGGGCAGCTTCTCTGAGAGCAGGTCCTGGAGCACCCGCTGGTCTACCTGCAGCCGGCAAGAGGGCCTGTCAGCTGCCGCCCCGGGGACGGGGCTGCCTCCTTTGGCCCTTCCCCACACATCCACAGTCAACACACGATCTGTGGCTGCCTGGGAAAGCTGGACCCAGCCTGGCCGGGAGACAGACCAACCAGCACATCCCTCCAGCCGCCCCGACACAGGTGAGTGATCACCTGCACAGAAGGATGGGACCTGCACACGGAGGGGTCTGTGGGCCGGCCTTCAGCCCGCGGAGACGGTCCTCTGAGGCGAGCAGAAGCTTGGGCGCCAGCCTGATCCCCTGGCAGCTGAGACACTGGTCTCATGCCCAAAGGCCCCTGGAACGTGGGGCCTGCTTTCTGCTCCTCTACTCTCTTCGGGTGTGGCACACAGAGCACGCTGTGGGCGAGACCCTGGGGGCGGATGATGAGGGGGCTGCCTGCCCATCACAGCCTCTAAAGCAGGATGCAGCTGGGGGACGTCTGCCAAGGGTTCTCCACGTGGCCACTGTCCCTGCCTCGCTGGCTCCTGTCGATGGTGCCCAGCACTGGCTCCGATCACAGATATTCTATGGTTTTCCTCCTCTGCGACGGTCCTGCGACAGCCGCCCCTTCCTCGTCCTTGTAAACTTTCCCCAAAATCACATTTTTAAAAAAATGGGCCTTAGAAACACAATCGCTATGAGTCAGAATGGACTGATGGCATTGAGTTTGGTTTGGTTTTGGTTTTAGCGCAAGAAAAGGCTGGAAAACTTTTCAGTGATTTAAAAGCTGCTGGGGCAGCAAGTTGGAGGTGATTGTGATGAATTTGTTTCCAGTAGGAACTGGTTCAATTGTTTCAAAGTGAGGGCAAATTTACATCACATTAGGGGGCAAGGACGAGTTGTCAGTACCACAGTTTCACCCAGGGCCAGGGCCCTGACAATCCTCCAGCTCCTCAGCTCCTTAGAACCTGCTGGCGGTCCCAGGTGGGCCCTTGGCCCTTTTCTCAGAAGGGAGAACGGAGGCGTGAAGGCCTGGCTTTCCTGACGTCGCCAGCTCCTAGGAGTAGCTCGGGGGAGCTCACCTGGGATGCCGTCAGTGTCTTGCTGTAGTAGTCAGGCGGCATGATGGTTTCCACGATGGCCACCAGGCACCAGAAGGCACTCTCCTCCTCATCCAGGATCAGCAGAGCAATGGCCGCCAGCCTGAGGGGAGGAAGGATGGCTGTAGTGAGCGGACGGGGCTCCTGTCCCTGAGGTGAGGTGGACAGGACCACTTAGGTGATCAGGGGAGCCTCGATTTCTCAGCTGTGAGATGGGGACTATTTCAGAGCAGGGGCTCGTTCCTTGGGTGGGAATCCTGATCCTGGTGCTCCCCTTGCTGGGTGATCCTGGGCAAGTCACTTACCCTCTCTGAGCCTCAGACTCATAGTAATCACTGTTGTAAGGATGAACAGAGCGAACACACACGCCCAATGCCCACCACAGTACGTGGCTAGGAGTGAGCTCTTTCTAAATGACACTTAATCTCATTTTAATATTCAAAGCCTCCCATGAACTCCTGGCCCCTTGAGGTACTAGGTGAACTCAAGGCCCCATATTCAAAGATGTCTGGGGAACACTGTACCCTCTGGTCCCCTTTTGGAGGCTTAGGGTACACATGATCCCAGGAAAGCCTCTGTGAAATACCGTAGAACCCCTCAAGCCCAGGGGTGCCCAGGGAGCCCCTTTCATGCATTACACCCATGAGGTCCAGCTGAACTGTGGCCCTCAGACCCTTTAAGGGCGAGACTGTGAACCTGAGAGCATTTAAAGAGCACCCGTGTCAGATGTACGTGCTTCCCTGAGATGTACTAGGAGCTCTGAGGGCATAGTGCCTAAGGTGACGAGGGAGTGCCGCGTGGTGCTGCCCCAGGTAGGCCATCAGCCTGGGCAGCTTCTCTGAGAGCAGGTCCTGGAGCACCCACTGGTCTACCTGCAGCCGGCAAGAGGGCCTGTCAGCTGCGCCCTGGGGACGAGGCTGCCTCCTTTGGCCCTTCCCCGCACATCCACAGTCAACACACGATCTGTGGCTGCCTGGGAGAGCTGGACCCAGCCTGGCCGGGAGACAGACCAACCAGCACATCCCTCCAGCCACCCTGACACAGGTGAGTGATCACCTGCTAACCTGACTGCTAACCAGAAGGCTGGCTGTTCAAACCCCCCAGCCACTCCTTGGAAGGAAAGTTGGGCAATCTACTTCCGTAGGGATACCGCCTTGGAAACCCAAGGAGGGGTCGCTATGAGTCAGGTACGACTCCATGGCGGTGAGTTTAAGGCAGCACCATGCCTTCCCCGTCTGAACAGGCTCTACTCAAAGGACTGCTACCTAAAGCAACAGTGTGTCTGCCCAGGTCTCAGTTACCTCTGCTTTCATATCAAATTGAAATAAAAACAGCATTCAGAAGAACATCAAGAAACGCCCTGTGGGAGTTCCGGCAAGATGGCGGACTAGGCACAAGGACTGCACAGACGCTCTTCAACAAAGAAAAGGGAAACCAATTAACACAGACACAGAAGATAATCTTGGACCCCTGAGACTTGAAGGAAAGGATACTAAAG